AGAAGTATTTCTTTACCAAATAGCAAGTCCGATTTCCTAAAGGCCTGTTGACCTTGTATTTTCCATCAGCCTATGAAGTGCACCCGTCCTCCTGAAGTGGGTCTGTGCCTTCAGGGCACAGGCTGGAGTCTAGAGTTGAAAATGTGAAGTTTGGGTTGACTTGAAGAGGCCTTTTACCCTACAGCATGTAGGAAGACTTGTCAGATGTCTTTGAGAACATGCCCCACTCTCATCCACACTCTTTGAGGGCAGCAGAGTTCCCATTGACTTGAAGAGGCCTTTTACCCTACAGCATGTAGGAAGACTTGTCAGATGTCTTTGAGAACATGCCCCACTCTCATCCACACTCTTTGAGGGCTGTAACATCCTTCTGTTCCACAACCCCGATGCTGGTTGCAGGTCCAATCGGACGTGCCTGGAGAGAAGCTGCAGCCAACAGAAAGGCCACCAAAAAGCAAGACAGCAAGCTGCCCACCAGGTAACCCAATATACCTGCAAGCTGATTCACCATGAGATCTTACCCCTAAGCCACACTCTCTCCAGGTGACCCCAGCAAGCCTTTGGCAGTTTGCTTAGGCAGACGCTCAGCATGCGAGTAACTACATTTCCTGCAGGACACTCAAGTCCCCTTCCAAAGGACCACCCCATCTTGAAAAGCTTAAGCAGAGATGGGACTAAGCTATCAGCATGTTCACCTAGGCCCAGGCATGAAAGTTCACAGTTGTCACAGGGAATGATGAACCATCATTCTAAGCAGAGCCCAACATTGTCAGGTGGCAAAGCCCAGGTGGGACCATTTGTCTTGAGGAGCTATGACTCTTCTTACCCAGCAAACCCTGTGAGAATAAACTGGCCACTGCAGAAAAAGAGACTGTAAAGGAGGAGGAGGAACAGCATCCCCACTGAGGCTCATGCATCTCAGGTGATAAACACGAGAAGCAATTATGATTACTCTTAAATATATCATTCCCATAGCAGCCAAGGCAAGAAGCCAGGGGCAGTGGATCTAGACCTTGTTGATCCAAGTGATGTATTGTACGTGAGAATTCATAAAGCACATGCTTTACTCTGAATATCATCACAAAAGGTTTGCTTAGCCTCCCCCCAGAAGTATATTTTGGGCTGAGTTTTCTTGTCTTAAGAGTATGGTCAAATGTATCTGAAATCGTTGGAGTCCAAAACTCTGTAATGGCAAAAACAAGTACTTGCACAGCCTCACAAGTGTGGTGTAAGCTGGGATCCAGCATTTATACCTGACAACCTTGGAGAGGTCACAGAAACGGCCAAGAGATTTCTCAGATGAAGCACGTTAATAACTAGCACCTCAGTTACCCAGGGCAGAAGAAACACTGAAATGAAGAAGAAGTGTCTGCAAGGAAAGTCCACTGAAAGTCCACCGAGGGCTACCTCCCCATTCTCTGAGCATCAGGAGAGCGATGCTATAAAATACTGAGTGATAGAAAAGGGGCTAGAATTTACACCTGAGAAAACACGTGCCACCTGTGCCTGGGTTTGTGAATTCATGCACAGCTCCCTGAGCATGAAGACCCACCCAGAGAAACGTACCTCCCACCAGCTCAGCCTTCCCCCCTCCCGGGAGGATGCATGGCACTTGGTTCCCCAAGCAGCCACCCCCTCCAAGAGCAAAAGCTTCAACCCTGCTGTGTTGGAGGGGGGACCCATTCGGACCAGGTGGAAGCTGCTGGAGAAGAAAGAGGCAACCCTGCTGAAGAAAGATGCTGAAAGGATGCCCCCTGAGTCTACCAGAGTGGTACCACTCTCAAAAGCAGCCTCCAGAGGGAAGGGTCAGCCTTCATAACTTCTCTAGTCCTTCACAGCAGACACCTTTGACAGTTCAAGTTCTGGCTTGTTAGGCTGGGAAAACCCATGTTGTTCCCAATACATGGCCAGACTTAGACATCTGATTTACATCACGGGCCCAAAGCTTATTATGTCAATCCAAGCTGATAAATAATCCAGAACTGGCAACAGCAAACGTTTGGCAAGAACTCTTAATATAAACCAGACTTTAAGTGAAAGCTACAACCAGGACAGCAGATAAACCATTCTTTTTCTGTTGCTGTCAAGGTACATGAGATAATCCTCCTCATCCCGTAACTCCCCAAGTTCTGCCCCACTATCCGTGTTCAGAAACAATCTTCAATTGCTATTTGCATGGCATTCAACAGATTGAGAATCCCTTTTTAAAAAAAAAACAAACCACCAAACCAACCACCAAACACCAAGGTGAATCAAACATCCTTGTTCCTGGTTGTGAATAATTCTATAATTAATTATGTTAGTTATATACAATACCTTTGAGAAAGAAAATCTAGCACTATTCTTCTCTGAAGGAATTCATTTTCTTCATGACCTAACAGAACTGAATGCAATTTTTCTTTCATTTTACCTTCCTGGGAACAAAGTCTACATTCTTCAGCTGTGATCACTCACGCTACTGGTTGGTTGGTTGTTTTTTTGTTTTTTTTTAAATAATAATGCACAAGAAGAACACAAAGACAGGGTTCCCTAGAGACTGAACCACGTATTTCATATCAAAAGGCAATTTGCTTTCGCTGAAAAATAAGCAGCACAGAAAAATTACTAAACCAGAAGTTTCATTTTACATTCAGACACTTGGGAGCGAGCAATTATCCAGTTGATGAGTCTCTGCTTCGGGGATTCATCTGGGGTGCAGGGGTAGCTATATCTTTAGCCACAGATATTCTAAAACCCAGGACAAACGGAACAGCCCAAGCAACTAGTATATCAATTCTTACTACCACCACAAGCACGAAGAATATTTTTGAACATGCCACTCACTCACCGGGAAATAAACATCAGAAGGAGCTGGAAATTGCTGCTCTGCCACCGCTCAGCTTGGACACTGTCACTTCTCCACCTCCTTGCAGAAGACCCGGCAGCACCTTTCTGAGCACCACCTGGGTGAGGGCACAGTGTCGCGTCCCACGGGATCAGCCAGCTCGCTCTGACACACAACTAGGCTCAGGGGCTGGAATCAGCCCAGGGGGCCGAGTCCCAGCTGGCAAGTCTAAAAATGACTTCTAGCCCAAGGGAAACGCGAGAGGTGTGTTTGGAAAGAGCTTGCGTAGAGGGCTTCCAAGTGGTAGTAAAGCCCTCCCTTAGAGAAACAGGGCTGCTGCCTAGGTGGAAAATCGATAGAGGGTTTGGACCAGAGGGATGGTCCTCTTCTTGACCTGGGCTGGGCTGAGGAGCCCTCATGCTTTTGCTGGTAAATAAAAGGAGTTTGCACAAATGTGGCTCTGGCTCTTGCTTTGCTGGGTGGAGAGAGGTGGAACTATCACTTGGGTCCTAGTCTGTGGCTGCCTTCCCACTGCCAAAGCCCTCATCCCAGCAAGGCTTCAGAAGGGATCATGGCCAGTTCACCCAGAAGTAGCTCCTCGCTTTCCTCCTGGCAGTAGAAACACCTCTTTGAAAGCCCGTTCCATCCAGTCTGTCACCAGGCAGTAAATGCTGGTTACCACTCCCCCATCCGTGGTGGGAAAAGCAAACACCTCTCTCTAGCTCTTCTTTAACGAGTGTGTTCATTGGACAGGCCCCTGCTCAGATAAAGGCTAAGACTTCACCATGACCCTCCACTCCCCTGAAAATATCACTGGCTGAATGGAGCCTCCTGGCAAAACAGATGCATCAAGTCAATGGCACGTGCTCCTGCCCAAGACACATCTTGGGTCCTTTCCTACGTGTAATTCCTCTTCAAAAACTCAGTCACTTCTTACAACAGCAAATACATGGGGGAATATTGTACTAAATACAGAAATTCCTCAGATATCCAGCCTCTGCAAATTCAAGTGGATGTGGCCCTTCCTTCATTACTTTATATAAAGTATTGCTGTGATGTTTTCTGTGATCATACAAGATGGTAAATCCATGAGAATTATGAGGAAGACTTTCAACATAACAGGTGGCATTCAACTCAGAAGTACTAACACAAAACCAACCATAAAGAATACACACTTAGAATATGCCGATATTTTTAAGGGCTCTCCTCTGCCATGTTTCCAAGAGAGAAGTTTAATAGTAACAGGACACTCAATACATTAACTAACACATGAGAACAGAGTGTACAACTTTCATTCCCATCCAGGAAATATCAGTGAAGCAGACAAAAATATTTCCACGCTGCTTCTGTGCAGTAGAGAGAACACTCCATAAGCAGTTTCACACACAAAGAAGGCGATTCACCCAGAACACAGTACTGAAAATACCATAAGGGGTTTTCAGATAGTTGGGATCTATTGTAGGACAGATAATCCACGACTGAAGAAGGTCCCTATACCATAACTACAATATTTCCCTTGATTTACCTCAAAACCTGCAGAGGAGACAAAACTGCTGAATCCTGAAAGAATTAAGCGGTAAGGAGCTTCATACCTGCTGTAGATATTTGCCCCAAGAGCCAGGTTCCTAAGCAAGGTAATGCAGAAGGCTTCTTCAGAAACTATGTGATTAAGAATTTCTGTTCTATCAGCAGAATACCTAACGTGGACACTTCTAATACCAAAGCCATTTGCCTGCAAACGTAGATAGGAAAAATAATCCAGGAGATGAGAAATCTTCCATAGATTTAAGGCTTGAATTAGAACCTGGTCTTGAAGACTCACAGTAGTCTCAACAGAGGGTAGCATGCAAACTCATTTTATCTTGGAAGACAGAAAATAGCAGAAACAAAATACCTTTCACTCTCCTAAGACTTAGAGATGATCAGAACTTCAGCTAGAACATGCCATCGTAGGAAGGTTCCTGGGAAAGGGTGGGGTGAAGTGACTGACTGTAAATAGGGCATGATAAATTGGATAAATTAAGTCATCTTTAGAATTTCTAGGATCCAACAGAGCACACAAGTCATATTCCAGGTAGTTCCCAAAGAATAGGACAGTTCCCAAATGAATATCGCAAAGTGCTATCAACATCATTCCAGTAGAACTATTGGCACAATTGAAATATTATGTTTTTACCTTTATCTGTATCTCTTCTGTGATTCCAAAGGACTGAAGCAAAGAGAAACTTCTTATCTTCTTCGAGGCAGCCATTATCTGGATGTCACACCTGCCTTGTCAGGAGCCTAAGTGCTATGCAACCAATCACCTGCAGAAATGAGAACCAGGTGTAAATTATTTTGCCCCCTCCTGAATAATTTTGCTAACGAATGCAGATGTGCCAATTCTTAATCACATTCTGTCAATAAGGCTTGCTAATTGCCCTTACAGTTCTGCAAGTTCCATGGGTGCTGGTTTTTCTGACTAAACCAAACCAGTCTCATGCTTCTGTACTATGTTTACAGCAATTTTTCTATTAGCCAGGACCGGTTCTTATGAGCCAATAATCAATGACACAGAGAGGATGAATATGAACTTCTGAGCTTCAGGAATGAACCAGCAGGAGCAGCAAACATCTCTCCTGTCTGCCTGGGCTGGAGAGGAAGGTCTCCCACAATGTTAAGGTCATTCTAAGAGACCCAGTCTTTCATTTTATATGTATTTCCAGACAGAAAGAGTATAAGGATGTCTGGGTACTTCTGGAACTTCTTTTGGAGAACATCTACCTAGCTGCTATTCTATCCAGAATCATGGCAAACTCCGAAGTAATTAAAAGTGGGGACACAAATAAGAATTCCCAACGTAGAATATGTCAGAGTATTAATCTTGCTACTTCACCTTGTCAACGTGACAAAAATCCAGGGGATATATTCCATCTGGACTTTAGCAAAGCATTTGGAACGATGTCACGTGGGAAACAATTAGCAGCTCCAAGAATTTGCAAGCCAAGCATGGAAGCAGCTAAAGTGGAAATGACAAAGGGGAAGCCGTTGGCCTGGAGGGATTTTCCTGGTGGCATTCCTCAAAGAACTGTCCTGGGACAAATTTAACGTAATCGTTTGGCACAAAACCAGCAGCCTACTAATGAAATGTTCTGATTAAACATCTCGGGAGGCAATGTCAGTGCAAAAGAATAGCTGGAATGGTAGCTACAGGAGCAAATTTAACCGTGGTAAGTGCAATAGGGAATAGTAACAAGAGGGTTTTGCTATGAACTTGTCAACTGACAACGAGTAGGAGGAATCCTGAGGCATTTTGGGAGGATTTCCAGACATCACGTATGGGAATGCCTCCCTTCGGTCCTCACAGCTCCTTACAGGCTCCTTCAGCTGGTGGTGGTGCTGCTGGTCGTGGTTGCTTTGATGCAGAGGCAGAGAGAGGTAGGCAGGGAGCAGGCAGCAGAGCCCACCAAAATCCCATAACCCGCATGAAAACCACACAGTCAATGCAGGGAGAAGTAATACCTCCCAAGTTCTTCATGCAGGACATGGGATTTTGGACCAAACAATGAGAAATTCTTTGTTACATGAGACATCCAGCAAGCCCTGTGTTAGCCACACACAGGATGGCTAGAAGGACCAGGGGAACAGAGCTCATTTCAGAGGAAGCTACAAGCAGAGAGTGAAGATTCTGGTGCTAAGATTACCTGCTTTCCAGGCTTCAGAGGACTCCTAAAGGTGCTCTTCAGCCAGGAATGGCACGAGTTGGAGTCCTTGTATGTACCTTCCTCTGATCTGAAGAAAGGAGGAGACCTGGCCTCCTATAATCACTGCCACCCCAAAAGTCACAGATAACAGACCAGGGAGCCAGCGCTTCTGGTTCATATCCACAGTGGTTTCTCTTCGTCCAGGGTGGAAAGAATCAATACATTCCTAACCTGTGGCTGAGCCATCCAGGTCTGGGAGTGAATGGGCGGCTGAGGAGAAGGACTCCTCCTACAGGAACTTCTGCTGAAGCAAGGGGAGTACCTTCCTCCTCTACCCTGATAGGTATTGCTGATTTTCCCTGCACTGAATTACAGGAAGGAGATGACAGAGAAGGAGACCCCTTTCCCTGTGACCTGAAAGGTACTTTCAGCATGAGGTCCCTTCCAACCCAAGTTATTCCACGATTTCTGACCTCTCATGGTAGGCTGGAGTGAAGGATAATTAGATCATTTCACCTCAGATGCTCTCTTCTCTGGATAACCTCCTTGTCCTGACTAGGAACTTTGTTGAGAAATGTTTCTCTCTGATCTGCTGGGGAGGAAAAAGAAAAGAAGGAAAGAGGTATCACCCAGTTTGCTCTGTGAGCAGCAGAGCCTATGAAGGCTGCGTTCCAATGGATTTATGCCCTATGTCCCTCACGTTCCTGCCCATTCCAGTGACTGCTATTGCCCTGTGTCCTCTTCATCTCCACCACCCTATCTCCAAGGTGTTCCTCCAGGGCTGCAGGAGGTAGTAATTTCCCTGCAGTATCACCAGTTCTTCCCCACCTCCTTTACCTGCCACTCAGCTTCCCCTGCTCTGTACTTCTAGCTCTCTTAGAAGACTTTTAGCTTTTTTAGCTCCATTTCTGGCATGCTGAGGTCAGAAGGGAGGACCAGCTGTTACGGAAGACAAGGGAAGTGGCAAGTTGAAATCCTGAAAATTGCTGAGTCTCAGAAAATTTCTGAGGCACCTTGGCCAGTAACAGAAGCTGACCAATTTTCTGCTTTTTTTTTTTTTAGCAACTGTCATAACATTCATATTGGGTTACATTTCAACGTATACATAGGAGTTTATACTCAAATCTTGAGATCTTCTAAAAAAGTATTAGCATTGTGACAAGTGAGTGAGTTTTCTATTTAACTCCCAAAACATAAGATTTCCATATCCAGAGCACAGCTTTTCAGCAGTATAAAGTCCTGGGAAATTTCAGGAGTTGCTTCCTCTTGGAAAAGACTCTTCAAAACCATTTTAAGTTCTTGGAACCAAAATATCTGGTTCCCACACAAATCCAGACCTATTTTTCCTACCCGTGAAGAAAACTTCTCCTACAAGAACCCAATTCTAGAGCATCAAAAAAACCACCCCACCCCTGTATTTACCTTCCTTGTGCCTTGCAAGGAAGGGGAGTACTATTATTGCTATTTTACAGATGGAACCGAAGCTCAAAGGCTAAATTACTTACCTGCTACCAGACAAAAAGGGACGGAAGAGGGAACTGACCACAAGAGTCCTAATTTCCAAGGCAGTGTCTTAAACATTGCCCCATTTTTCTTGCCAGGCCCATCCGGTCTGCACTACGCCCAAACCCACCTCAGATCATAGGCCAATATGGGAAAACGAGAGCTTTGACACGCTTTGACCTGCACTTTGCTTTTTGCTCTCTCCCGTTATACATTGTCCACGGGGGAAAACCGTATTTTCTTTCTCAGAAGCTGGAAAATCATTTCCTTCCCCCAGCAAACAGGAGGCTTGGGCTGCGTGGCACCAGGGGAAAAGCCAACGCAGCTCTTCGGTTACTGCTGTGTCTGCATGTTAACACGAAGAAGGTCAGTAGGAGTGTACACAGTACTGAGAAAAGGAGTAGTTAATTATTGCTAGGCTGCAAGAAGGGAAAATAACGCGATTCGTTTTGGTTTAGAAAACTGCAAGTCACTAGAACGGCTTCTTTTTTTCTGGACTGGTTGTGGGTTGGTTTTTCTTTGCGGGAGGGCACACGTACAGGAAAATTTGCAGCTCTCGGTTGAGGCTATTCAATGTGCTTCAAGTATTAGAGAAAAACCACCAGAACACCAATCCCCTCTCACCAGCGGGAGCAATCTCAATAAATCATAGAATCATCTGGGTTGGAAGGGACCTTCAAGATCATCTAGTCCAACCATCAACCTAACTCTGACAAAAAAACATCACTAAACCATGTCCCCCAGCACCATGCCAACCCGTCTTTTGAACACCTCCAGGGATGGTGCCTCCACCACTTCCCTGGGCAGCCCATTCCAATGCTTGATAACCCTTTCTGTGTAAAAATTCTTCCTAACATCCAAACCTGAACCTCCCTTGGTGCAACTTGAGGCCATTTCCTCCAGTCCAGTCACCTGTGACTTAGGAGAAGAGACCGACCCCACCTCTCTCCACCCTCCTTTCAGGGATTTGGAGAGCGAGAAGGTCTCCCCTCACCCTTCTTTTCTCCAGGCTGAACAACCCCAGCTCCCTCAGCCTCTCCTCGTAAGGCTTGTTCTCCAGACCCATCACCAGCTCCATTGCCCTTTTCTGGACCCGCTCCAACACCTCAATGTCTTTTTTGTGCTTCATTACAAAATGAAGTACAATATTCAGCAAGAAAAAAAAATAATCCCATTTTTCTTGCTCATGTGTATAACCTGGCAACTTGCCAACATCTTTTGCTGTATTTACTCCTCCTGAAGCCTTTGTGCTTGAGCGCTTCCTTGCATCAACCATCTAAAAATGCTTCAAAACCAAGCTGCTTTTTGACCAAAATGCCGGGCTTGCTCTTCATGGCACAAGTTTTAATAATTTCAGAACTTATCAGTGTACAAGAGGCAGCCACAAAATAAGTCCAACCAGATGGTTTCTGTTGGGATGTCAAGAGCGCTGTTTGAAACTTCTCCAGTTCTCCAAAGCCTGAAGTTATATTTGCTGTTCATATTCCAGCTAGAATAAATAAGCAAAATGCATTCATATTACAAAATAGATACAACAACTGTTTTAAAAACACTCTTAAAAGACATTTTTTCCTAAATGTTTTGTCCCAAAGTTGCTATCAGAACAGGTGGACCAAATCTAGCAAATCAGTTCCTCTGCAAAAGGCAGACTAGCCCCTCCCAAGTATGAATAATTACATAAAATTATGAATATTGATAAAACTTGTAATTTCTTTGTATGGTTGTCCTGAAAAAATAATAGTTCTTACAAGCTACAAAGACAGGAAAAACTCTTCTTTCCAGAGCAAGATAAGGAAAGAGTCCTAGGGAGCAAAATTTGCTCTCCATCCAACTTCACCCATTACTGGGGAGCTGGGAGAAGGAGAGGCTGGTGTCCAGTGCCCACCAGCAGAAGAAAGCATTGTCACCAAGCCCAGGAAGCCACCCGCAGGAGCAGCACTTCCCACCCGAGTCTCAGGCAAGTCTGCCAGAGCAATAGTAGACAATTTCATTGTAAATTCTGAAGAATTATTGCAATAGGTGCCTTGTTGACTTCACAGTTTTATTTTGTATTAGTTTCCAAGAAAAGCAATTAGCTTTATCCAGGCAGAATACCAAAAGTTTGAAAAAGACATTCCTCTATCCTAACAGGTTAAAGACAAGGCCAATCAGCCTAATTTATTAGGTGGAACAGAGCAGATGAGAAGTGATGAGCATTAAAACCAATGCAGAGTTTAGATTCACCCCAGCAGTATTCCACAGACATGCAGCGCTGCAAAAAGCTGGACGGGCAATTACAAAACTTAGCGCGCTGATTGGCGTATCTCAATTTTGCACCGGAGTGAACCAGAGATCATGGCCAACAGGCAGGTACAGTTCTATAAATGTGAAATAATTGATTTCGTGTACCCCATCGTTTTGCAATACGAAGGCAAAACGGCTCCGCGCCCGCCAGCAACAGCCGCCGCTCGGGAAGTGCAAGGCAAGACCCTGACTCAGCAAATTGCTCAACTTCACAAAGCAAACGAGTAGCAGAGATTGTTTTATCTCCCCAGTTCCAAACTGAGTGGTCTAATATCCTCTGTCACATCCCTTATCCTGAAAGATTAGTTTAATAATTCTTTCACGGTACCACCAGGTGTGGGTTTTCAAGCATCTGGGTCTCCAAGTGACAAAAGTGGCATTTACTGAACAATTCCCAGTTTCTCCTAAAACTCTTTGTTTTGCAGCTTGGCAGTTATAGACGTATTACCTGCATTTCAACGATACCATCTTGCTGCTGGAAAGGTATTTTAAAAGAAACAACTTTGCTGAAACTGTCTGATCCATTGGTATCACATTTTGTTCAAGAAAGCAAAAAACAAGGCTCCCTCATTCCTATAGTGTCATTTAAGAAAGGTTTAAGGGATGAAAACCTCTTTTTTCTTCAGTTTGATTCTTCTTTTCCTAACAAACACTGAATGAGCTTTGTGACAGTAGGGGCAATCCTTTACTCACCTGTTCTGATGATCATTACGCTTGCCATAAAAGTGCTTTTTAAAAAAGATTCTTTAAAATGTCTGCTTTTCCACCCCAAGTTGGTGTTAACCTCCCTGTATCAGGCACACTGCAACAGAGGAGATATCCCCCTGCGGTGGAGAAGACCACGTTGGAGCAGGTTATCCACACCAGGGCCTGGGGAGGAGCCCACACCAGAGCAGCTGGATATTTCCTGAGGGACCTGCAGCTCGTGAAGAGCCCACACAGGAGCAGGGAAGAAGCATGAGGAGGAAGGAGCAGAAGAAGAACTGTTGCACACTGACTGTAACCCCCCCAGCCACCACTGAGGGGACCAGGGGGAAGGAAACAGAGGACTTGGCAGTGAAGTTTATCCTGGAAAAAAGGTAGGCAGTGGGAAAGCGTTATTTTAATTTTTGCTTTTGTTTATCACTACCCAAATCTATTTAAATTAGCAATAAACTACATTAATTTTTGCCACATTGAGCCTGTTTTGCATGCAAGAGTACCTGGGAAGCAATCTCCCCCTGTTTATCCAGACCCACAAGCTCTGTCATCCTATTTTCTCCCCCCGTCCTATTGAGGAGCAGGAGTGAGAGTGGCTGGGTGGGCCCCTGGCGAGGTTATCCAGCCACAACTGCTCACAAAACAAATGAAAAAAAATACACATTGGTTTAAAAGGAAGACATTTTAATGTACAAATTTACACTCACCACATTATATTTTCTCCACTCATCTCTCAGCACGTACTTCTATCATGTTTTCATAATAAAACCACAAACAGTAATTCTCAAACTAGGGAGGAAACTGCAGCGGTCTGCATGATTTATTCTATTCATAATTTATTCTACAAGTGTTTACAGGTTAACCACAAAAATAATTCCCCTTCTCTTTTCTCAAGAAAAATAAATATTTCACTTCTAAACTCAAGAATCACTCAGCTTTCTACCAGTCCGTGCACTATGTCCCAGCATCCTTGGTCAAAACTAGCACATTTTTATCTCTTGGGATTCCAGCCAGTAGCGTCTGTCGCTCCTCACGTGCTCGCACAGCACGTTCAGAATTCTTCTCCAAAGACACACTTCAGGGAAAGAAGAAAACAGCTGAAGATGTCCATCTTCAGTTTTGCTTTGCAAGGCACCCAGCTGCCGACGTTACTTTCTTCCAAACGGATCAGACCACACTTTTAACCCTACAAATCAAACATGAGAAGACCAGCAGTTCATAACCAGACTGTTGGAGAAAAAAAATTGGTCTCCTAGTCCAGCATTCTGCACCAGAGAATGAAATAACCTGCACTGAACTCTGCCCAAGCTTGCAAAAATATTTAGAAAGACAACCTCATCTTGATATTAAGTTCCAGACAACGGAAAAATCTATCACACCCATAGGTCAGGTGTTCTAATATTGTTGGAACAACCACCTAGAATTGCACCTTGCACTTCAACTTGTCTAGATCTCACTTTCAGCAAGTGGATCTCTTAACTTCTCAGCAGCAGCTAAATTTAGATGAAAAAGTTATACTGAGGAGAACCTGCACCTTGGATAAATGATCCAGTCCAGTCCTCTTTAATGTTTAATAAAAAAGGCAGGTTTACCAGACTTCTGTTTCACAATACCCTTCCTACTCTTCTTCAGCATTTCACCACTTTCCTGGAAAGCAATTCCTGCACTGACGATTTAACTGATAGGTGTAGTAAGGACATGGCATTAATCCTATTTGGTTTTCCCCGGCTGCTGATGTTAGGCTTTTCTAAAAATAGGAATAAGTTACCCTTTAACATACTCAGATAGGAACTGTTTCATCCAGACAAGCCCTCTTGTGTCTTTAAACGAGAAGTGCCAACCTTGCATAACGAATAACCAGGTCCATTACCTATGAAACAATGAACTACCAAGGATGGTCTGCCATACTTTTAATTTTTATTCCCCTCACAGGCTTTTTTTTTATTTGGCCAATTAAGTCTATTTAAAACAAGTTTTATTAAACCCATAGTTTTCAAGTTAGCCTGAAAAAGAGTATTTTCACAGTAAGTTGATTATGTATGTATTCCTTCAATGTATTCTTCGCTGTGTTATTTAAATCCATATAAATATTCAGGTCTTGCTTCAAGAAGATCTTTTAAACAATCAATATAAACACATGAATTAATTATACCTCCAGGCTGAATTTCCTCTTGAACAATACCAGCTCGGTTTATTGACTGTTCTTTCTCTGGAAAACAGAACAGAAAGGAGACTACTAAAAAAACCCCAAAAATACCAGACATCTTAACTCCACCCAACAAAGTAATATTGAAAATTGTATTCATTCTGGATGCTACACAGTAAAATTCTGGTGAGCATCCACCTATACAATGAGAATGTAGTACTCACACTTATTGAAAAACTATCAGCTAATCTGTTTTGAGAGATTACAAACCATAAGATAATAATCTTAAAGTAATGACTACTGTTTAATAAAAGATGCCAAAATACCTGTCACAATCCCATCACTTACAGAATGATTAGCACTTTTAGGAGCTAACACTTATATGTTTAATATAAAACTCTTCAAAGGATTTATTCTTTCCAGAATCAGAGACCTCCATTTTCAGGCCCTGAAAGATCTTACATCTTATCACAAGTAGGTTTTATGACAGCATCTACAAAATTACTGCTTATAAACTTCCTAAATTAAGTATTGGAGGGATACTTTCCATACAACACGCCTGCCTCAGGCTGCTCTTTTTCAGTTTGAAAGATTCAATCACTTCCAAGAAGAGAAATGGACAAAACTATTATCATTTCCCCTTATTAAATGCCCCCTCTTTTTTTTCCCCTCCCAGATAAGCACTTTACCACTATAGTACTTTGATGCAAAGAAGTCAAAGCTCAGCTGGATTAGCCTCTTACCCACACCATTGAACTTTTTAAGCCTACAATTTATTTTTTTTTTTTAAATTCTAAGGTGCACATTCTCAGGGGAAACTCAGCAAACCTTAAAACTGAAACTTTTCATCACCCTGTCCCAGTGAGAACACACTGGCAGGAGAGGTTATGAGGCTGTCTGTGTACAACCCTAATGCTACCAGAGACAAGTAGGCACACGACAATCACTGATTCTGCTTGCGAGGGGGCAGGCACTAGAGGTAGATCCAGCTTCTCCATTTCTATTCACTGAGCATGGTGCTATTTAACCCTTTTTTTAGCAGAAAAAAAATCTCAGGGAACTGTCTAATTTCACAGGAAAAGCTACAAAACCCAGACAGAGAAAAACAAATAAATTAGGGCAAGGAATCCTACTGCTCCCATGGCACAGAGCGTTCACCTGCAGCTGCTGAGGCTTCGCACCTGGGACTTCAGGTGCCTTTGAGTGCTCAAAAGCTCCCTGGTGACAGGGTCAGCTGTGGGCTTTGGCTGGTTTTCCATGTTTCCGGCAGGGAAGTGAGGTCTTCATCAGCAGCCAGTTTCAGAGAAAACTCTGCAGGCTGAGACCAGCTCTAGCAAATCATCGGTAAATGATCTGTTACCGCGTTTTAAGTTGAACTTTTCAACTGTGGCTAGAAAATGTAACTTGAACAACTTACAGAATCATAGAATGGTTTGGGCTGGAAGGGACCTTGAAAGGTCATCTAGTCCCAACCACCCCACCAATGAGCAGGGACATCTTCAACTAGACCAGGCTGCTCAGAGTCCCGTCCAACCCGACTTGGAATGTTTCCAGGGACTGGGCATCTACCACCTCTCTGGGCAACCTGGGCCAGGGTTTCACCACCCTCAGCATAAAGAATTTTCTTCCTTATCTCTAGTCTAAGTCTGCCCTCTTTTAGTTTAAAGCCACTGGCCTGTTGCTGCAGGCTCTACGAGAAAGTCTGTCCCCATCTTTCTTGTAGCCCTCTTTAGGTACTGGAAGGCCACAATAAGGTCTCCCCGGAGCCTTCTCTTCTCCAGGCTGAACAACCCCAGCTCTCTCAGCCTGTCCTCACAGGAGAGAGGCTCCAGCCCCTCTGAGCGTTACTTCAACTGCATCTCAACCCTCTTAACCTCTTCAGAGTGCAACCAAGGGGCTCTGAAGGTTCTGAACCACGTGCCGGCCAGTGACTCGAAACAAGAGCAACACGACGTTTTGAGAGGTTTCTGGGGTTTTTTTAAGGATCTCTGGGGCGAGCAGAAAGCCTCTCGGGCCTTGCTCGCCCAGTGGCGGCCCCCAGCACACCCCGGGCCCCCCAACCGCCGACAGCAGGGCCCGGCCGAGGTCCACTCCCCGCTGCCCTCCCCCCCCGGGTCAGAGTACTCACTGTACTGCTCCGGCATCAGCAGCGGCCGAAAGTAGATGGGGTAAAACGCCGCCCCCACCACGGCCACGAACCCGCCGAAAATCCCGAGGGTACGGGACAGCCCCGCCATCACCGTCCCCACCCGGAAGCGATGCGGTTCTCTCTTCCGGCGCACCCCGGAAGCGGGAGCCGTGAGGCACCTGCGTGCTGCGCCCCGGCGCGGCGGCACAGCAGCGCCTCCTGGCGCCCTGGCGGACCGCTACCGGCGCCCTCCCGCCCGGTGCCTGTTGTACCGGGGGAGCGCAGGGGGATTCCGCACCCGCGGAACGG